AACCATGTTTGTGAGCGTGGGCCAGACTGAGGAGAATGCAGGAGAAGGGATGGCTGCATGGCCGTCCCCTCTGGCAGGTGACTTCTCACTTTCCTCCTCTGATCTTCTTTCTCTCCAGTGAGTGCACACGCCCTGTGGTAACAAAAAAATAAATAAATAAAAATAAATAGACTCTATTTTCCATACATTAGTAACTCGTCTGTACCACCTCTAACATCACCCTGGGTATACACCCTCTTATTTGGGGAGCAATGAATGTTCTCGACTCTGCTGAAAGAGCGAGTAGAGAGAAGAAAAAGGATTCCTTCAGAAAGAAGTACCTCTGGTCTTCCCACCCTTGCTCCTAAGCTTTTTTTTTTTTTCTTTTTTTGGAGAGGTTTTCACTATAGGGTGCATGCGCTCGCCAGACAGAGAGAGACGGAGAGACAGAAAGCAAGAAATTCCACCCCCAGGGGGATGGTCACGCCGCAATCCCTTCTCCATTCTCCTCTCGGGATCTTGGGCACGCACACACACACGCCCAGCGTGAGTTTTAAGCCGCCGGGTCCGGGACGCGAACCGCGGTCGACTATGTGGGAGTCCAGCGATATAGCCATTACACTAACTGTTGGTTCCTGCTCCTAAGCTTTTTTGTTTTTGTTTTTGTTTTTGAGAGGTTTTTGCTATAGGGTGTGTGCATGCTCTCAGGAGAGACAGAGAGACAGAAAGCGAGAAATCCCCAAAGGGGATGGCCTAGCCACAATCCCTGCTCCTCCATTCTCCTCTCGGGATTTTGAGCATGCACAGACACACACACACACACACACACACACACACATACCGTGTGAGTTTTAAGTCGCCAAGTCCTGGACTCAAACTGCGATAAACTATTTGAGAGTCCAGTGATAGGACCATTATGCTATCTGCTGATCCCCCCACCAGGATTTCTTTTTTACATCCTCTCGTATAATGCTCATAAATTTACAAAAGCTGGTATGGCTCTGTGTTGACTCAGGTAACAGGAGCACAAAAGGTTAAGGAGGGCCCATAGACCCCTTACTTTGTCACATTCATCAAACACATAACTACTTGAAACAAAAGACTCACAAGAAACAGAAAATGGGAAAACAAAGATAAAAATTAGTAAGTTGGGACCAACAGTTGGCCTAATGGCTATGTCGCTGGACTCCCATGTATTCGACTGCGGTTCGAGTCCTGGACCCGGTGACTTAAACTCACGCCAGGTGCGTGTGCGTGTGTGCCCAAGATCCTGAGAGGAGAATGGAGGAGAAGGGATTGAGGAGTGGCCATCCCCCCGGGGGGTGATTTCTCACTTTCTATGTCTCTGTCTCTCTCTGTCTTTCTGGAGAGCCTATGCACCTTGTAGGAAAAACCTTTCCAAAATAAATAAATAAATAAAATTAGTAAGCTGAAGGAAACCTTGGGGCACATATTTTGAATAAACAAAGGATCTAAAGCAGGATAAAAGGGGACTCTCAGAAGCAGACAGCCGGCTTGCCACCCTCGGTGCGGGCCATTCTGTCTGTAGTAGGTGTCTGGCCACAGGGACACACAGTTGCAGATGATGTTCAGTATTTAGTGGCTTGTCAAAGGTCATGGCAATTAAGTGGCAAAGATGGGATCAGAATCCACTCTAAGTCTGAATGTATCTGATGCGTTCTTCAATGGGAAAGCTGCAGGCTACATTTGCTCAGGGTTAGCAGATTTCAGTCAAAGCCAGTCCCTCTGTTTTGCTGAGAGTATCTTCTGCAGTTAAAGGAAGGTCTTTTCCTCCACGATGAGGTGGGAGGGCAAAGGTCACTTCTTAATGTTTCTTAGGATCCTTTCCTAGGGAAATTATCTTCCTTCAGAAAAAGTAAAAGCTGGGTCCAGTGATGGCATGGTGGTTAAGGCACTGGACTCACACATGACTGACAACAGTTTGAGTCCCAGACTTGGCAACTTGAAATTCATGCTGCATGCGTGTGCATCTGTGCCCAAAAATCCAGGAGTAAAATGAGAAGGGATTGCAACATGGCCATCCCCACTGGGGGATGATTATTCACTTTCCTCCTCTCTGTGTCTCTCTCTAGCCAGCCCATGCGCCCTATGGCGAAAGCGAAAAATAAAAAAAGGAAAAAAAGAAAAGAAAAAGTACAAGCAAACCGAGCGTGTTGCATTTCGAGAAGTTTGCACTGATTTACAACCAGTGGACGACTGAACTTCCACCCAGTCACTCCACTGCTGTCCGAAATGGGGGTGGGGTTCTCTGCAGCACAGTCGAGTCCTGCAGGAAATACACCCTCATTTGCACCAGCCCTGTTCATCCCACCCAGAAGCTGACGGCATGCTAGCGTGGGGCCAGGGCGAGGGGAATACGGCTACTGCTTAAAGGTTATAAAATAAATACTGAGAACCATGACTCATCAGAGTTTTGTTTGTTGTTTTTTGACAGTAAAAAGAATCATATTTCTTCAGGAGTTTTCTTTTTTTTTTTTTTAAGTCTTTTTTATGTATTTGATGAGTGAGAGAGACAGAGACAGCACAGGCGACAGGGTCTCAAAATAGCAATGCACCCCCCCTTTAGCCAGTCTCGATCATGTCAGACTCATGGCTGATGTACACAGAGAGGTCTCCAGACGTAAACCAGGAATGTTTCCATCTGGGATTGCTTCTCAGAGCGTTGCATTTTACCAATGTGCCACCATCTAGTCCCAGAATTTTCTTTAAAAAAAAAAGTTTATTTAATTTTATTGATTATTGTCATTTTTAAAAATTATTATTAATTCACCAGGGAAGAGAAAGATAGAGAAAGTGTGAAATCAAACTGTCAGGTCTGGGACTCGAACCATTGTCAACCATGCCGGAGTTCAGTGCTGCAAACATTACTCACGAGTCAGCCCCAGGACTTTTTTTTTTTTTTAATCCAAATCTTTTTGTAAAATTCTAATACTTGAAGATGATCTGTGCTCCCTATAATGTTATTACTGCAGACATATAAAAGCATCTGTGATAAATGATAATACAAAGTTAAGGTATCTTCCTTTACAAATGGTCAGAATATTTAGTTAACATTTAATATGCACAAATAAGTATAGTAAGGAGATAAAATTTGGCACCAGACATGCTGGGATTCAGTTCCTATTTCTGAAGTGTTCTGCATTGAGTGCTCTTAGTCAATTTCTTAATCTCACTATCACCTGTTTTATTAGCTGCAAGTGTATTTTTTTTTTTTTTGGGAGAGGTTTTTGCTATAGGGCGCATGCGCTCGCCAGTCAGACAGCCCGAGACAGAGAACAGAAAGCGAGAAATCACCCCCCAGGGGGGAGGGCCACACCGCAATCCCTTCTTCTCCATTCTCCTCTTGGGCACACACGCACACGTGCCCGGCGTGAGTTTTAAGCCACTGGGTCCGGGACTCGAACCGTGGTCGACTATGTGGGAGTCCAGCGAAATAGCCATTACGCTAACTGCTGGTCCCAGCTTCAAGTGTATTTTGATACAGATTGTGGTATATACAAAGATACATAAAGCGTTTAGCACACTAAATTACACTGTTTTTACTAATATCTTAGCATACTGAATTTTTTTTAAATTGATTATGTACTATTTACTTAAAAATAAAGATAAGGAGCCAGCAGGTGGCTTGGTGGGTAAGGCACTAGATTCCCACAAGGCTGAAGGCAGCTTGAAAAAAATCACACCCAGTGAGACCAGCAGGTGGCGAAGTGGTTAAGGCTCTGGACTTCAATAAGGCTAGTGCAGTTTGAGTTCTGAACTCAGTGGCTTCAAAAACAATGGAGTGTTTGAGATGGGGCGCCCAAAATCTCAAGAGGAGAATGAAGGAGAAGGGATTGTGACGTGGCCGTCTCTCCAGGGTATGATTTCTAACTCTCTCTCTCTCTCTCTTTCTCTGTCTCTCTCTCTGCTCTCTCCAGCGTGCTCATGGGCCCTATGATTCAAAAAAGAAAAAAAAAAACTTAAAAAATGAAGATAAGCTTTAAGAGACTCCCAAACCTGAGGGCTGTGTTTGATATTTATCCTTTGATTCAAAGATTACAAACAAGGTATCCAATCAAAACGAATACGTTTTTAATGACAGAGGAACCGACAAGATCTTCCAGGAAGTTGTCTGCACTGAGGCCTGTAAGAGAAAGGCAAAAAAAAGTAGGAAACAAGGCTACCATGGCTGAGAGAGGAGGGACACACAAGAATAAATGTCTTCTATTTGAAGAAGACTGGAGAATTAGCTTTCGGAAAAGGGAATGGGTGTGGAATATTGCTAGAGATAAGGGAAAGGACAGGCTTGGGATTGTGTGGGTAGCAGGTTTCGAAGATAAGATACCAAGTAGAAGAATTTCTCATTGTCCTATCAGTAATTTAGAAAAAGCACTGAAGTTTGATTAGTGAGAGATTGATTTATGCTATCAAAACATGCCAGGGGACAGAACTAGAAAGCTTAAAAAGCTTTCAGATTTCCTCTTCACTGAGGAAAAATAAAACTTCCTGGGATGGTCCTCTGACCTCCCATTTGTGATAGGTTATTTGGTCAAAGCAGTCATCCCTTACTCTTGATTTTTTATCTGCAAATAATGCAGTGATCACATTCTACAGCACTCATTGCAGAGTGAGCAGGGAAGTCAGACATTATGTTCTAGAAAAAATGTTTCACGATTTAAAATAAAATACTACGGCTAAGGAGAAAACACTGAGATTCTAGGGCAGTAGCTGGAAGGCTTTCTTGTGACATTGAATATGCACTTGAGTTTCATTTAAAAAAAGAAATCCTTATGAACAGGCTACAATGTGTACAAGGCTTTTGAAATGAGAACACAAGACAAAATAGTCACTCCTCCAAAGGAAGTGAGCCTCTGTATTGTTTAGCATTGTCTGGGAGTTCATTAGAAATGTAAATCTAGAGACCCCACCTTAAATCTTATCAAAGCCCCGGGGGGTTGGGCCAAGAAATCTGTTTTAATAAACTGCAATCATTCTCTCCCTCACTGAAGTGGGATAACCACTGTCCCGACTTGGTTATGTGGATATGATATGCAGCTCTGCGGATGCCAGCAAGGGACTGAGGAAGCAATTCGAGCTCAGTCTTCAGTGTCCACTGGTTACCCTCAAGGAATTACCCAGGATTACTCAGTAAGTAGGTGGACTTTTCTCTGTCATCATCTCCTTGATCGGGGTGTTTAAGTATCTAAACTTGCTCTTGGTATTTATGGAAGTCTTTATATTTGTTGAGTGGTGTGTGTGTGTGTGTGTGTGTGTGTGTGTGTATATATATATATATAGAGAGAGAGAGAGAGAGAGAAAGAGAAGAGTTTTCAGAAACTTAATGGAAAAATGTACATTATGAAAAAAACTATGTTTGGATTTCAACTATTTTAAAGAATTATTTTATGTAACTTTATTAATTGTATTTATTTATTCATTTATTTTAATTTGACCAGAGAGACACAAAGAGAGAGACAAAGTGAGAAAGCAAGCCTCCAAAGTGAGAAGGCAAGCCTCGAGGTCGGGGACTCAAACCGTAGTCGACCACGTGGGAGTCCAGCACCCTTAACCACCATGCCACCTGCCAGCCCCTGGATTTCAAATTTTTTATAACAAAATAAATTTGTACTTTAATTACATTTTTCTGTTAACTTTTTGAAGTCCCTTTATGTAGGAAAACTATAAAATATATAGCAGATTTGTAATAGATGTTAAATATATATTTAACAGATATTGGTATATAGGACGCAGCCAGATCAAAGAAAAAGTGAGAAATGCAGAGCAAAGAAAAAAATAGAAAGGCAAGACATTTATGGGAAACAGAAATGGATATCTATTGAGGGAGACCAATTTTTCTCCAACTTTCTGTTCTCTTGGCTTATAGAAACATATTGTCTTTTCCATCCTCTGGTTTTATCTTAACTTTCCGCTGGTTTTACATAAACAACTTTTAAAGATGTTTATTATGTATCAGTTATGGCAGACATAGACAAGGGAGGACCTAAGCAACTTACTCTTGGTGAACAGTGACCGACAAGTCAATGCGTTCATAGAAAGAAAGATAAACTTAGTTCACTACAAAAATAAGGATTTGTGTAGTAGGAAGTTATTTCAGATCGAGTCCTGTTGGAAAGGTCTGTATGGAAGCAAGGTTTGAGCTGAGAACTGAAGGAAAAAAGGAGTGGGAGCCAGAGTTCAAAAATAGGAAAGAAGAGCACTTTTCACTGTGAAAGTAGAAAGAAACTGATGAATTGGGCATAAATGAAACTGACAGCGGGGGAAGAGGGAGGCAAGATTAGATCAAGGCAGGGGCCAGATTGTGTGCGAATTTGGTTAGCCATCTGGATTGTATTCCAAATGTCATGAGAAGTGATTAGAAACCTGGTTATGTTTTAAAACATTATTAATATTTTGGTTGACGAACTGAGAAAGGCTGGAGACAGGAGGAGGACCAGCGTGGATAGAAACTAGGAAAGCAATAATTGAGTATGTGAAATGATGGTTTAAACTATGGTTCTAGCTCAATGAGTGAAACTTAAAGAAGTTGGAGGGGGTGGAAAGGTAGAGGGTTGAGATCCTGAGCAATGTTAGATATGTTAATTTGGGGTACTTATTTGGCATTCAATGGCAAATGAGTTGTGGAGTTTAGGCTGGAAGTTTAAATTGGAGAGTGATTCTCATCTTCCAAAATGAATGAGATTAAGTAGAGAGAAGCTGTCCGACGGGAATAAGAGACTGAAACTGAACCTTGAAGCATCCCAAAATGTAGAGAGGTTCAAAAAGATACAGAGTCAAAAATGATGTTGAGCACGAGACCAGTCAAGGAAGAGGGAAATCAGCTCTAGCGGGTTTTCAGCTCTAGGAGCTTAGTTAGCTAAGGGAAGATCATATTCTGTGGAAGGGCACGGTCACCTACAGTAACTGCCGAGAACTCCAGGAAATCTGAGTTGGTGAGTTTGTTTATTCTGGTGACTGGGTGGAGGGGCCCTGGACTACATCAGGGATTTCTTTGGAAAGTCAAGACAAGAGAAGCCACCAAGAAGTCGAAAGACACATGCAGGAAAAGGTCTTAGAGCATATTCAAAGATAAGTAGAGAAAAAAATATTTACAATTCGTATCATACACAAGGGGCTAAACTTTTAGATATATTAGTATCTCGTAAAATGGGCCCCCAAAAAGGTTAAAAATCTAATGGAAAAAAAAGCCTGATCACCGGAAAAATAAGGAAAATATTCTTAAGCACAGAAAAATGAAAGTCTTACTAGGCATAAAGTAAATGTAAATTGAAAATATCTGGCCATTTCCCACCCAGCCAGTGAGCAAATAATCCAAGGGTTTATTAACACCTTTCTGAAACAGTGGCTGCAGTGCAGAAGTGTATGGCCCTCATGTCTGGAAACTGACAAAACATACCAACATTATAGATGGGTCTGGCAATAACCCCATTTTTAGGAAAGGTGCTCTTTATGGCCAAAATTGCAGTTTATGGTTAAACGTGGTGTCAGGATTCTTTGCACCCAAATTATTGATGAGGATCCCAATAAACATTTGTATATGTGTGTCAATATCTATCTTTACTGTATTGGGAACTTAAATTTATTTAAAGTCATTTCATTCATTAAAAATGATTTAAAACCGGGACCAGCAGGTGGCATGGTGGTTAAGGTGCTGGACACTCCCACATGGCTGATCATGGCTCGAGTCCCGGACCTGGTAGCTTGTTCTCTCACTTTCTCTCTCTCTCTGTTTGTCTCTGGTCAAATTAAAACAAAGTAATGAATAAATAAAATTAAATAAACAATTATTTTACAAATAAAAAGGATAATGTAAAACCATGTTTCAGAAAAAATAATTTTAAAAATAATTTTATTTAACTTTATTTATTATTATTTTCCAGTTGGATCAGAGAGAGAGAAAAAGTGAGAAAGCAAGCCA